AAACTGCTTACAGACGTCCTCTACATCAATCTTTTATCACCAAATTCCCACATTTTTCTCACGTATCTGAGCAACGCGTAGCAGATCAATACAGAGCAATCATTAATAATAAACTATTAAGTGCAAGTAGACTCCAAGAATTACAGGATGAAATTGCATAGAGATGGCTACCCAGAATAAAACAGCAAATAACGACACAGAATACAATTACAGCAAATAACGACACAGAATACATAATATAAATATTCTTACAAGATAATTATAGATTTGACTACATCCAACCCGCCACTCAGAATCTCGGGATGCATGAAAGCCTAATCTCACCAAGCAATACACAAATTTGCCCGGATATAATTACACCCACAGATTATAATGCAGAACAAGAAGACGAAAATAATGAAATTCAGCAAAATTACAACAAACTTATTGGGGACATACGAAATAAAATTGATGGGACATTTGCAATGCTTTTAAATAAATATAAAAACGTCGATCCTACGACTAGACCTAGCATACCTAAACAAAAAAATTCTAAAAAACTGGCGTGCATTGCACATTACATTAACCAATCGCTGCTTCCTGTCCATGTACCACCTGATTCAGACTTTTACACGATTCAATGCTATATACTGTGCAGCTGCTACTGTTTCAATTTATAATGGATACAAAATAATGGACCCTGAAAATAACTCCTCATATCAGAAAAAACGAACCCCTAAATGGCAAATGAGACTAGAAGACAGAATCTCAAATCTTAGAGTTAAAATAGCAAGACTAACGGAATATATAAATGGCAATACAAGCACTAAGCTCAAACGCGAAATAGAAAAAATTACAGCAGCTTATAAAATACATTCAATGCATGAACAAGAAAACAAGAAACTAGCCCATTTCCTAGACACCCTCAAACAAAAGCTTAGTTCACTTGCAAACCGACTACGAAGATATAAAGAAACCACTCTAAGAAAACAACATAATGCAGCATTTTATAATAATGAAAAAACATTCTACAGAAACCTAACAAACGCACATGATATTAATGATAATAATAAACTAGTAGAAATACCTGAAACAGAACAGCTGCATCAATTTTGGTCCAATATATGGTCTAACCCCAAAACACACAGAGAAAGCGACTGGAATAAACAGGATAGGGCACTATTAGTAGATTTACCAGAAATGATGTTCGATGAAATAAACATGGATTTATTAAAATAAGTTATTAACAAAACACATTACTGGAAAGCGACTGGAAGCGATAAAATGCATAATTATTGGTATAAAAAGTTTACTTCCTTACATCCGCTCTTACTGTCACACATCAACACTTTTATAAAAACACCAGAATCATTACCAAGCTACATTACACTAGGAACAACTTACATGATACCTAAAGACCGAAGTGACTCAAAAAATCCAGCCAAATACAGGCCAATTACTTGCCTCCAAAACATTTATAAGATCATTACGTCTTGTCTTAGCCAATTAATTTACAAGCACGCTATCTCTCATAATATATTAGCAGAACAACAGAAAGGATGCAGAAAAGCTAGTCTAGGTTGTAAAGAACAGTTGATAATTGACGCAATCGTCTCTAAACAAGCAGTCACCAAAACAAGAAATGTTTTCACCATGTTTATTGACTACAAAAAAGCATTTGACTCAGTAACCCATAGTTGGCTAATATACATTTTAGAACATTATAAAATTCATCACAAAATTAGAGAATTCTTGAAAAATACAATGCTTCATTGGAGAACTACTCTCAAGCTATACAATGGTGACTTTCTGTTTAGAGACTGATACAATAACAATCCGAAGGGGAATTTTTCAGGGCGACGCCTTAAGCCCCCTCTGGTTCTGCCTAGCTTTAAATCCTTTATCTAGCCTTCTCAATAGAAATGACAAGGGGTATAAAATCACTAACGGAAATACACATCATACACTATCACATTTACTTTATATGGATGACATAAAATTGTATGGGAGTAATTTAAAGGATTTACTTACTCTTGCTGACATAACGGAAAGCTTCTCAACTGATATTCAAATGGAATTTGTAATAAATAAATGTAGGATACAATCAATTCGTAGAGGCAAAGTAGAACAAAATTCATATACTCTCCAGACAGGTGAAACCATTGAACCTGTAGATGAAAACGCTGGTTAAACATCTAGGATTTACTCAGACACGACAGATTCACCAAAAACACGTTAAAAAAACATTAGAAAAAGAATTTAAATTACGCCTAAATAGAATACTTAACACACATCTAAATGCACGAAACACCATAAAAGCTGTAAACACATTCGCCATCCCAATTTTAACTTATTCATTCGGTATAATTCAATGGTCTAAAAGCAACCTAATAAATCTGCAACGTCTCATCAATAAAACTATGACTAAATATAGAAAAAGCCACCCTAGATCTTGTAGCGAACGACTCACATTACCTAAAGTAGAAGGTGGAAGAGGTGTGATTGATATAAAAAATCTTCATAACTCTCAAATTTCAGCTATGCGAAACTTCTTTTATCAACAAGCCAATAATAGTCCGCTTCATAATGTTGTTGTTCAAGCCGATACTAAACTTACTCCTTTAAACCTCAAAGATCAAAGAAAACAGAAAAACGAAAGTATTTTCTCTGCACAGGATAAAATTAACAGCTGGTTGCAGAAGACGTTACATGGAAGACACCGCCGTGACTTGATGAACACAAACGTAGACAAGGTAGCGTCTAACATGTGGCTCAGGCGCGGAGA